TACCAGGTTGAAGACTGCAGCCTTCAACATCTTGACTGAAACCTCATGAGAGACCCTTAGCCAGAACCACTCAGATAAACTACTTCTGAATTCCTGACCCACAGAAATTATGAGATAATAAATGTTTATTATTTTCAACCACTGAGTTTTAGGGTAATTTGTTATGCCTCAGTAGATAAATGGAGAATTCATGAACTTCTTACACTCTGCTGAATTGCAAAGCCTTGCCAATACCAGCGGGTCAGAGAAATCCTTCTAAGAAACATTCAGATTTGTATGCCTGAAAGTAGGAGTCTGAAATAACAGCCATTCAAGATCCCTCCTGGTAGGAAACTTTGTGAGTCTGAAGCAGAATATGGGTCAGATCACCAACAGTTGCCTAAATTTCCCATTTTCACATTAAGATGACTAAGTACAATTTGAAGGCTGTTCACAATCTGATCCATTGTTCAGCAACCAACTGCTGTGAGAATTGAGAACAAAATGAATTGACCATACTTTGGGGTATTGGGCAATTTTGTCTATAGCTGATCAGCATCCTTGGGATCAAATAGCCATTATGGGAACATCTCCAGCAATTTGTAGTACATCAACCAAAACCTTTCAAGCAACAAGGCTTATACTGCATGTCAAAATGAACTGTTACTGTGAAGTCTGAAACCTCTGCAGTTTTTGATTGTTGGATCTCACCTGGCCCAGCAGGTGTCTTTCTTCTAAAGTCCATGACTCACCTAAGCCAAAGAGGACAAAAACACAAAGCTCTGGAGAAAAATCTGTGATTGAGGTCAACAGAGTCTCTTGGGCTGCACTTTTTGGGCTGCACTTTTTGGACTGTCCAGATCCTCAGCTCTTGCCAAGGCAGTCAGGGGCACGGAGCCCATGCTACGAAGTCCAAGCCAAGTCCCTCAGATGGCTGAACTCACCTGTGTTACAAAGGGGTCAGCACTTGATGAGGAAGGAAAATACAATGTACATTTCCCAGACATATTTCACAGGAAATTTTTTCCAAAGATGAGCTGTTGCAAGTTGACCCCAAATAATGCTGGACACTGAAAAGGGGACATGCAGGTAAATGAGTAGGTTGCAGCGTGGACAGAAAGAACACATCCATTTGCTGAAGCTGCTGGAGGGTCGGGTCAGCGTGCTCTTTACTCTCGTGTATGTCTCTTGGGGTGCCACTTCCCCTCTCCCTCGGGTCCCTCTGAAACTGTGTAAGTTAAAAGGATTTGGGAGCATGAGCCCTATACCCCATATTTGTCTCAGCTAATAGTTTTGCCTCTAGAACTTGCTGCTGCAGGAATATGTGACTACATTGTGACACATCAGCTTCAAGAATGGCTGTCATAATAATCCTTTGCCTTGTCACCAGTTATATGAATCTATCTTAAGATAAGGCCTTTGTGTGATATTAGGGCTGTAGGATTTGTTCATCAAATTAAGTGGACCTATTAGTGAGGTAAGATATCACAAGGGCCAGTATATGGGGTTCACAATGAGCTGCATTCTATCAGAGCTAGTGTGGTAATGACTTCAGGAAGATTGGCACACACACTCCAGTTCAGTTTGGCAGTTGTTCAGTCAACAGTTGGAAACCTGTTTAAATAAATAAAACTGGTTAAGTGGAAAAGAGGACAGGACTAGAATACAGAAGCCCTGCATTTTAGTTCTAGTCCTCTCAATCACTTTGGAGGTGCATGCCCTGACAAGTTCTCATGTCCCTCTCCCTCAAAGACAGGAGCTCCTTGCAGGTGGTGGCTGTATCCTCTTCCTCATATTCCCGGTGCCTGGCATGGGCCTGGGTACTCACAAGGCTCTCAGTAAATTGTTGCTGCCAATGACTGAAAAAGTAAATAAGTGCACATATCTACATTCACATATGTATATATGTGGTTAAATGAGTGTGAAAGGAAGTCTAAAAGGTTGTACTCCTTACTGCCAACACAGGGGCTGAGGTAATGTGGATGGTGCAGGGAAGGAAAGGAGGTAGAGAGAGGCAAGCAATGGAGAAAAAAAAGAGAGTGCACTAAAAATTCTACATGTATAATATAATCTTGTAAAAGTATGTGTATGTATGCATAAATAAATTAGAGGAAAAATGATGATGTTTGTATGTTAAGTCAAAGCAAGTTGCAGAGTATTTCAGTTTAAAACGATAAACAAAAACATCCCATATATCTGTTATATATGCATAATTAGGTTTAAATGAGCAAAAGGGAGGGTGTATATTTGGGTGCTTTGAGACACCACCCAACTGAGGCACTCAATTCTGCAGCTGCTGGGAGCGTTGGCTGCTGACAGCTCACAGCTGAGTCCCTTTTCAGGCATCACCATCAGCCAAAAAGAGCTTCTTTGCCCATCCTCTCCCTGGGGCAGCCCAGAGCCAAAGACGGGTGCATGTGGGGCCCAAAGACCTGGGTCCTTTTTCAATGCAGGACAACTCCAACGTTCCCTCTGGTCAGTTCCACTTCCTGTACTTCCCCCGGGTGCCATAGCCCTCAGGAGTTAAGTCTCAGTAAGCCTTCTGTGTACATATCCAGTCTCAAGCTGTTTCCTGGGAATTATGACAGGGTGGAAGGATACTTACCAGTGTATTAAAATGTTACTTAAGGAACTGAGATTGGGGGAAATGATTAGCATCTTCTGCATACATTTTTATATTGACTTTTTTATTATAATAAGCATGTGTCACTTTTATAATTTTAGGGATATCAAATGAAGAACTTTAAAATGTAATAAACGTGTTAGTTGAATGAGTGAACAACTGTGCCTACATCTAGTTGGAGAAACAGATAACAATAAAATAGCATGTCAAAGGTACTCAGTGTTTTTAATAAACTCAAGTGAAGGGGATTTTCCTAATATTTTTCATGACTTTTGATGTAGTTGGTTCAAAAGATATTGGACCAGCTTTCTGAGAGTGAAGTCAGCACCTCACAGGTGAGGATGAGGAAAAGAAAGGTCAGTGGATGGAAGCAAACAGGAGGGGGAGTTGTAATTCCATGGAAGAAGAGATTTTCTAGCCTCAGAGCTATCTGCCCCCCAAATAGGCTGCAATTTGTGGACAACTACCATCTAAATTACACTGTCCAAAGAACCTGCAATTCTTCCATTTGGTGAGCAGCCAGATTAGAATTGGAAGAGAAAAATACCTGGCATTTATATCACCTGCAACACCTCCCAGTCCTGGACCCTGGCAAACCCATTGATGACCAGTTCTTTCCCTGTGATGCCACCTCAGAATTCTTCTTGTCCCCACTCTCCAGGCAGCCACAGTGGATGCACTGGAGTATTCACTCAAGATGGAAAATGTTTGCCCTTCCAGAGCTAAATAATCTTTACACTTCTTCCAGTTCTGAGGTTTCATGAGGTCTTCCAGGGAAGGTTAATTTATTCACAAATGTCTTAAATGAGCAAGCCTGCACCTCAGCCAAATGCCTGCTTCTTCCTCTCTCAGACATCACCTGATTTTTGCAAATCCATCCTCTTGAGTCATCTATAAATGATATCCCTGAGGCTCAGTGTCCCATTTGGAGAAGACTTAGCAGGGTTTGTGAGAAGCAAGCCCTTGAATGCATAATTATCGAGCCACCAACTGTGTTGACACATCCTTGGAAATTTTGTAGTGGAGGTCTGGTCCAAGATCTGTGTAGGACCCCTGATTACAGAGGCTAACAAATGTGCTTACTCAGAAGCCTCTCACTTAACAATTGATGCCACTGCTTCTATTGGAGTTTGTTCTAACCTGGGAGAATGACTCTTTGTTTTGCATGCATTTATTCTTTCTTTGTTGAACTTTTATGCACTGGCATTGTGCTTGGGACAGGAACTAAAGCAGTGAGCAAGTCAAAGACTCTGACCCTGAAAAGTTGGGAGTCCAGAGTGAGCATGGCACACATAAAGAGGTTTATAGTACATGGAGACTTTCACGATGTAGGAATGCTTAGAGTGCCAAGGACATTAAGGACATAAGAGGGGGTCAGGTTGGGGAGCAGAGGTTTGTATGGAAGGCTTTTTGGAGGGAGTACCAAGCATTTATCATAATCAGATCAGCTAAGCATGTTATTACAGCCACTTTCAAAGACCTGAAGCACATTTCTGGATTTATAATCATTCTATAGATTTGTTTACCTCAAATATTTACCTTTTTATTGAAAACTATGAGATGAATGAAAGAAAATCAATGAAATAAATGAAAGTCTCTGGAGAGAAGAAGCAACTAAGCAACAATTTTTTTTTTTTGCTTTGGAAATTCACATGGTGCACATACGAATTTATTTTAAAGGAGATGTGGCACTTAGAATAAAAAGGAAACCAGGCTTTCTTATTTTGAAACCATTAATATATTTCTTCCCTCCCTTATTTCTGTTTCAGGTGGCTATATCATTTTAACTGCATAGAGGGCAGGTTTCTTTTGGAATTAGGATTAAAGAACGTGCAGTAAAGAGAAAACATCGAGGACACCATCACGAAAGGTACCATTTCCTGTGAACATTTGATCATTAATCATTCCCATGGCCAGTTTGAGGCTTTCATTAGTAACTGCATATTCCCAGGGATCTGAGACCCTCTGTTATTGAAACAACACCCTGGGGGCTAGTCTCCTTGAAATGAGGTGGTCAACAGCATTAGCTCCTCTGGGCTTCATGCAGTCTCTGAAAAAGCTGGAGAAACCGGGTACCGAGGCTCTGGCTTCTCATAAAATATTTCTGAATGCATTTCATGATGCGGTTGGTAATAAAAGTGTGTTACTGTGCTCAGTCCCTCCAAGAAGCTAGACTTGACTCCCAGCCTGCCCGTGCCTGCACTGGGCCTGCATGAATCAGTGCTAAATTATTCACCAGTCTCACTCTAAAATTTCTGGAGTTCCAAAACCCCTAATAAAGTATTATGAAAAAATATCCATCTCTTTATCTCTATCCATAACTATATGGCTGGAGGAAAAACCTGTCGTTTTATTTCCTTTAATTTAAAAGCTTTCCTAATTCCTTTTTCATACCACATATATATGTCTAAAGAATTTTCAGGTTGAAATAATAACCTCTAAAAAATGGTCCACAGGAGAAGGCTGTTAGGATTCACAGAGTTGGCAGGCACAGTGAATATTTTGCTCCTTTAATAACTTTCCATGGCACTCAAGCTTGATATACTGAACTGGGAACTTTTCAAACAGGTGTGGCCCTTTTTCATTGTACAAAACAATAATACGGCCACCAGTCTTCTCTCTCTGTTATACAATTGCTAAAGTTTGTTCAGAAAAGTTTGTTCAGGAGCTCATTTTCTTCCTCAGACTCACTGCAGTCTCCGTTTCCATCATGCTACTCTGCAGACTTAAGGCAAGTCTTTTCTGAAGCCCCATGTTTGAATCAGTCCAGAACACCCTCAGCGGCAGCCTGCCTCCCTTGGGGGCACTTGACTGCAAAGTACTCCATGCCATTTAAAACACCTTTGGACATTCAAGTTCACAAGAGGCATTGTCACATCACACTGGCTATTAACCATTCACACTTAAGGGAGACTTGGTTAATTTGTTGCTTCTAGGATACCAGCTGGTTCAGATCAAGTTCTCTGCAACCAAGCAGAGCTGGAAGGTGGACCATGGTGTACCAGCAGCTAATGGTGCCTGTCACGAAAGCATCACTGGCAGTGTATTACAATGGAGACATTTTTACTGACCTGCACTCTGCTCAGGGAAAGCACTTGGGATGAAAGAATATTTGACAAACCCTGCTGATTAAATCTCAAAGTCACCTCCTGGCACAGAGGGTAGTCCATCTTTCCTGGCCACCTCCTGGCACAGAGGGTAGTCCATCTTTCCTGGCCAAGCTTATCACATGTGTCTGAACCACCTCACAGGAGAACAGAGCTTGTCCAGATTAGTCCCCTCCCCCACACATTTACAAATCACTTTTCACTAGCATGGCTTGGTGTTGGAATTGCAGGGGTTACCAAATAGGTAGGCAGCCAGGTCCCCTCATGGCTCCTTGGCAATTCAAACCCAGGTGCTCACAGGCTGGCCTGAACTGCCTTGCTTGCCTGCTTCTATCTCACCTTCATTTCCCATGCATTCGAAGCAGCTTATTTTAAAAGCTGATTAGATGAGCCCTTAATAACAAGAGAATTTAAATGGTCCCAGATAGGTTTTCAGCTTCTTACCAAATTGAGATAAATGTGATATTTGGGGAGTTGAGCTCCCAGCTTCAAGCCTGCTCTGTACTGCAGACAGGTTTTGAAGTACCATACTACCTTCTCCCATTTTGCAGCCTAAAACTGGGTTTGTGTGTGTCCATAAGGTGCCCTTCATCTCTAACGGTCTATGATTCTGTGTGTAGATACGTCTCCATGATCATGCACTTTCAAAAAACGGTAATTTGGGGGAAGGGGCCCAGGACAGAGTTCTATCTTTCAGTTGTGATAATTTATGGAAAAGCTTCATTCTATACCCCTACACCTTATGATAACTTTCAGTTCTAGACAATAACCTTTATTGAGCAACTATTATTTAGCAATTTACTTTGATATTAATGCTGTTAGTACCTGACTTTGGCAGAGAATAATGTAAAATAGTGAGAAATATGAGTGTTTCACTTTATGAATATGTTCAGCACACTCTGTAACTCTTAAGGGTGGGTTCACTCCCAAAAAGGAAAAACACACTTATCAAGCCAAATAGACATAGCCTTTCAACTTAATACCCTTCTGTCAGATTTTATAAAAATAAAAGCAAAGTGGGAAAGAGGAATTTGAAAAAACAAGCAAAAGTAGACATAAACAGATGGTTCAATATTTAGGTAAATATATTCTTACAAACAAATAAACCAAGTTATCTGCTTGCTATATTGTCCCAACCAAACTAGGCACCTGACTATCCCCAGAATTAAATCTTGAAACTCCTAAAAACACGGTTTACCCTTCTAGATATGGGTGGTCATGAAAGAAGTATCCCTGAATTTAAGCTGCTTTGTGAAATGTTCAACAAATGTAGCTGCTCTTACAGACTTTCAAGAGAAGCTAAACCTTGAGCTTAACCCTTGAGCATTAGCACTCAGGTGGGGAACGACTGCCCACCACATTTTGGCCCTACCAGTCCAAAATTCACCCCAGACTTCAGGGACTCTTGAGGGACTTCAGGAGGAAATTACTTATAATCCATTTAAACTATGGCTTTGATCAGAAACTACAGTTAGAGTGTAAATGTCTGCTTTGCTGCGTGATAAAACCAGATTGAGGAGGCTCAGCAAAGTACAACTCCAGAATTGCAGTGTTTGACTCTGTGCCAAACCTCTGATCAGTCAGAGCTCAAGTGGCTGTTTCCTATGTGTATTAGTCTGTTCTCACACTTCTGTAAAGAACTGCCTGGGACTGGGTTATTTATAAAAGAAAGAGATTTAATTGACTCACAGTTCAGCATGGTTGGGAGGCCTCAGGAAACTTACAATCATGGCAGAAGAGGAAGCAAATATGTCCTTCTTCATATGATGGCAGGAAGGAGAAGTGCCAAGCAAAAAGGGAAAAGCCCCTTTTAAAACCATCAGATCTCAGGAAAACTCATTTACCATCATGAAAATAGCAGCATAGAGGTAACTGCCCACATGATTCAAGTACCTTCCACCAGGTCTCTCCCATGACATGTGGGAATTACGAAAACTGCAATTCAAGATGAGATTTGGGTGGGGACACAGCCAAACCATATCACTATGGAAGGGGAAAGAGGAGTATCAGAGGAGGTCTTGGCAGAACCTCCATGCCTTGGCCCACCCATTTCTCAAGAAATTAAGCATTCCGTGCCGTTGTGACAAGGCTTTCATTAAGACCATATTATCTAACAGGTGACTGCTTGTCCAAGTACCTTCCTAGTACTTGTGTTTGCTCTCAACATCTTGTGGTTTACATGTGCAAAATGTAATGGCATTGGATGCATCAACTGGCAGTTTACATGCAAACTCACCTCCTCCTTCACTAAGCCTGGAGCCATACAGAAAGAGCTTGCTCAGTTTCACTCTCCTCAGAATGCTTCTGTGCAATCATCCTGCCCAACTTGCTTTTGACATGTCTCTGGAGAGAAAGGGTTCCTCCTGGCCACAACTAACTCTTCCACTGAGTCCTTGGTCTCTTCTTTACCCTTCTCCTCTATAGCCTGATCCACCCATTGCTCTCCTTTCCTTACTTGCATTTTCTCTCATTCTCTATAAGTTCTTTTTCTTCTGCTTGTAAACGAGACTTGGTCTCCATTAAAACAAACAAACAAAAAAACTTTCCCTTGATTTCCTTATTCACTCTCTCTTTCTCTTGTCCTGGATTCCAGGGAAGAACATTCTACATTCACTTCTCACCATTTACTTATCCCTGAATCCTATGGAAAACAATGCATCCTACCTACCCATGCAACAAATTCAACATAATTCGGCAGACATGCATTTAGCATATACTAGGTGCCACACCCTGTTTGGACTCTGAACACATGGAGGACACACTCTTACAAGGAAGGCAAGGCATGCCTCCATCACGCCTAATTACAGTGTGACAGTGAGATGGTGAGGCTATGCACTATAGAGAGGCAGGGTGAGAATCATCAGCCCTGTCTTGCAGGAGGGGGCAGCAAGGAAAGTGTCAAAGAAATTCTCCAGCAAATGGGGGACCCATGAAAGGAAATGAGAAAAAGAGAGAAGAGGGAGGCCAGTTCAGTAGGAGGAGCAGCATGGGCAAGGTCACTGAGATCATGGGGCCCAAGCAGCATGACGTGTAGAAGGCGCTATGTACATGGCAGGGAGACAAGGAGTACTGAGGCCTCACAGAATGACAGACATTTAGACTTTGAGTGGAGATCCTGAGAAACTTTAACCCTTTCTTGCAGACAATGGAAACAATAGAGGGTTTAAAGGCAGGAGTGACATAATCACGTTGCCTTTAGAAAGATCACTCAGGAAACAGCAATTAGAGAGGGAGATCAGATAGGAAGTTGCTCTAATAGTCCAGATGAGAGGAGATAAGGACCTCAACCAAAATAACCTGTGCTAGGAATGGAGAAGTGGGGATTCTAATGTAATCTCCTCCATTCTCCAAGAATCCACCCAAACAGATGTTATCTCTTCTGCACTAAACCCTCAGAGCATGTATTGTACTTTTTCTTACTGTGCTTATTCAACTTGTATTGCAGTCATTTGTGTATTTCTCTAATGTTCCTTATCAAATTGTACCTTTGTCTCCCCTTCCTCAAATTACAGTACCTTGCTCATAATAAGAACTGAAGAAAAGGTTATTGAGTTGAATTGAATTTTCAAGGGCTTCAAACCATGAATAATTGAGGAATCAGCCATGTATAAGTGCTCATCATTTGCATAATTGTGTAAACAAGCTTATAAATTTATTTTTATTTTTCACATTATTTTTGCTATCCCACAGTGCCCCACTATCTTTGCAGTTCTTCAGGTTTCGGGGAAATAGTAAACAAGTATTCTCTAATACACACAAGTGACAGAGGCGCTGCTGGATTCTCAACTCCGCAGTCAAGGGAAGTGGTTGAAGGTAGAGAACAGATGATTGCATTGATTGAATATGAAAACTATGTACAAATATTGAGAAATATGCTGTCTAAAGAGACAGAGAATTGCAGAGCACACTGCATGATGGGACCCACGCACAGAGTCCCGAAGGTCAATGTGCAGATACAAATTGATTAAGCTAAGTACTTACTGAAATTGCTTTCCAACATACAGATGAGAATTGATCATAAGCAGGACCCATATTTATGGTGAAAAAGCTTTATAAAATTATCCGCTGGTATGTCATAAAGGCAAATTTAAATTGTCCGGATTTTTCCCCAAATGAAAGTATCTATATTGTTAACAAATATGTCATTAACAAGTGAACCAGTACTGATAATTTTGTGATCGAGTTTCTTTATGTGTGGACCTAAATGGCCTCATAACAGCTTTTTTTTTTTTTTTTTCCTCTCTTGGCATCTTTTTACATCCCTGAGGTTAACCTCTCTGTCTCATGCCAAACCAAATGATTCTTTTTTTTTCTCCAGTACTACATATTGTATTAACTTAATTTTTTTGCCTACAGATTGTAGTTTTGCATAAGTTCTGTTTAAAAAAACCAATTTTTTTTATTTCCATAGGTTATTGGAGAACAGGTGGTATTTGGTTACATGAGTAAGCTCTTTAGTGGTGATTTGTGAGATTTTGGTGCACCCATCACCCGAGCAGTATATGCTGCACCCAATTTGTAGTCTTTCATCCCCCACTCCCTTTCCACCCTTTCCTGCTGAGTGCCCAAAGTCCATTGTGTCATTCTTATACCTTTGTGTCCTCATAGCTTAGCTCCCACTTATGAGTAAGAACATATAATGTCTCAAACCAAAAGATTCTGATTGGCCATGATTTAGCCCTATCTAGTGTGGTACCCGAGTTGTCACTCTTAGACACAGTCCCTAGCTCCTAGGAAACTAGGAGTCAGAAATCTCCTAAGCCCATGTGGCATCCAGCACACTTAAGCAGTGGCTTTGAGTGGTGCCAGCCTGTGGCATTTAGGCAGGAGAAAAGAAAAGGAGAAGCAGAGTGGGGTGTATAAAAGGAAATGCAAGGCAGCTACAGGAAAATTAAGAGAAAGTAGTAGAAGGCATAGTTAAGCAAGTCTTTGTTGAGTAATTTTTGTGTCAAGTATAAAAGCATGCATCACAGGCCACACAAAAGAAGTATGTATCATGCTTGCTGTACTCAATGGGCTAAGAATTTATCCAAGAGGGCTATTCTAAACCCAGGAAACAAACAAAATATCAGTTCATGACAATATAATCAAGCCGTAAATACTACTTCCTGGCATTGACTGTGTTATAGTAGTGAAAGCAGAAATAGAGCAAGTGTCATAGGGTTCATGGGAGTGGAGGAGACCAGAGAAAACCCCATGGGAGAGGCCACAAGCATTGAGCTGGGCCTTGAAAATAGAGGTGACACAAACCCAGGAAGACCAAATGAGCATGACACCTCAGACTATGAAAAAAAGTAAGAGGAAAAAGTAAGAACAAAAGGAGGAGATGAAAGAGAAGAGAAAACAGAAAAAGTTTCTGAGGATGGTGATGGTAGAGCAGCTGCCACTCACGTGTGTCTGGGCACCTGTGCCAACCCTTGGATTGCCTTGACCAAAGACCAACAATTTAGAGGCAGAAAATATTTCTGTGGTCCCAGTCATCTATGTAGAATTGGACCACAGCCAGTCGGTTTTTGTTGCCTCTGTAATCACAAAGTCAGGCATTTTTCCTCGTGTTTACTTGACAGGAATGCTGTTTACACTGAAAACCTCACACCCTTCAGAGTGACCATTGACAACTGAGTTCTCATATGACTAACAATTGGGTGTAAAGAACCCACAGAAGCTCCACAGCAAATGAGATGGCTTCATTAGCTGGAGGTTCTAGGAGGTTCTGTGAGAAATGAAGAGATTGGTAAAGTAAGGACGATATATTAAATACATTTCAAAGAGTTCTATGGAGAGCAGGATATCGCCAACAAAATATATTTTGATTGGCACAGTGGAATCTCCCTGCCCCTCAAATTACTTCCCATACCATCCTCATCCCATCCAAATTTTAAGAAAAGGACACAAACTAACAAATGAATAACACCGGTTCTGCCAAGTTGTCTGAAATCCTACTATTTGAAGTATATTCTTGTCAAGGTGTTGCCTCTTCCAGATTTCCCTTCAGAAAGGTAGGTGTTCTCTGAGAGACTTGTTTATCCACACTGGAATGCTAATTATGTTAGTAGAATTTCTGTCTAAGGGCCATGGAAGGAGGAAAAAGCAGAGAAGAAGAGAAATAAGGATGCAAGAAGAGGGAAAAATAATTTTAGAACGTAGCACCCTGCTAGGAAAGGCAGGATTTAGGGTGATGGATGCAAGTGGTGGACATGGAGGGCTAATGAGGAGAAGGTGGGGAGAAAATATAACCAGAAGGGGGGGGGGAGAGAGAGAGAGAGAGAGAGAAGAGCAGAAAAATCACAATGCAACAAAGCCAGAATCAAACTATGCATCCTTGGCCATGAGACCTGGAGCAGCCCCAACCAACTGGATAACTCCAACATTAAAGTTGGACATGTTCAAGTGCCACCTGAGAAGGCTCAGCATTGTTTAATATGGAAAAACAGAGCAGGGCTATTTGTGAGGTTGGCCAGGTGGCAGGGTTAATATACGAGTATGCGGCTAAGTCCAGCAGTGGCAAAACCACAGCAAGTTGTTCGTTAGGCTTGAGGAAGAAAATGCCTGGAAATTGGCCCCAGTGCAGAACAACTGTGGCCGTGGGCCAAGGGAGTGCCACACTTCTCTGCTGAGTCAACAGAGAACAATAAAGCTGGGAGATGATTTAAGAATTGTAATGTAAGGATTCTGCCAGAAC